TCGGCTTGTTTTCTCAACAGATTACAATAAAGCTGTGCCTGCGAAACCTCCCAAAGCTGAGAGCAAACCGGCAGCATTTCTGCAAAGTATGGAACAGCTTCCACACACGCACACATCTATTTATGTTTTTGAATAGGGTTGCAAAAAAGCAGAACATTTCCAATACTTTTCAGAAAATTTTGAAACTTTCTGGGATTGATTTTTGGAAACTTTTGGAAATTTTGGGGATTTTTCCCAGTTATGAAATATTTTTTCCATTTTTCTTCATATGCATTAGCCATTATATTGCTAAACGTATTGCAGCTGCATGACGTATGACAGTTTCACTCTCTGACAGTAGATGGCGCTTTTAGAAAAGCAGAAATAACCTGATCACTCTGGGACATAAAGTGCTACGTAAACCTTAAATTATGTTTTATACACGTACACATGCGCTCTAGAAAGCTCCGTCTTTGTCCGACGTCTGCTCTATTGTTCTCCAGAAGTTATGAGCAAAAAAAACAACTGATCAGTGCAAAGCAAGTTAATAGTGCATGTGCGACCTGGGTGTACGAAGTACACGTGGCTACAAAAATTGAGTGTTGCGTTGCACTATTCTAGTGACAAAATTTGACCCTAACTGAAGTATACTTTGGGCTTAACTTTCCGTTTCTGACACGCAGGGTGTCAAACATCATTTGCATGTTTTCAAACATCACCGTTCAGATTTCCTAATCCGTTATGTTTATAAAACCACACCATAATACAGTAACACAGAGACCAGAGCTGATTGCTCCTCTGCTTCTCACTGTAACAGCTGCGGTGACTAAAAGCACAAATCCTATTGGTTGGCCAGTTTTATTCAGCAGGGAGATTGAAACGAGATTACAACACTTAAAAATCAGTTGCATTGACGGTATACGAATACTTGTTTCAGTCAGGCGCACTAACACTGCTGTGAACAGGCCTTCATTCACATCTGAAATGCCAAAACGTTCTAAGTTGTGAAAGACATCAAACGTTTTCTTTTCTTTCTAGGCATCATCAGATATCCATAAAGTGGAATATGTAAAAGTGAGTATATATTTTACTCAAGTGTGTGTGCGAGTACATAAGCACGTGTCTGACGATCGTATTAACGCTGCTGTAAATATTTATCCGCAGGGAGAGAAGTCCACGTCTCCCAGAAGTTCACATGGTTGGTAAACTCTCACACAGTCAGAGGATTGGAGCGCTGCTCTTCACGATGTGTTCAGTGTTCATTCGGCTTGTTTTCTCAACAGATTACAATAAAGCTGTGCCTGCGAAACCTCCCAAAGCTGAGAGCAAACCGGCAGCATTTCTGCAAAGTATGGAACAGCTTCCACACACACACACATCTATTTATGTTTTTGAATAGGGTTGCAAAAAAGCAGAACATTTCCAATACTTTTCAGAAAATTTTGAAACTTTCTGGGATTGATTTTTGGAAACTTTTGGAAATTTTGGGGATTTTTCCCAGTTATGAAATATTTTTTCCATTTTTCTTCATATGCATTAGCCATTATATTGCTAAACGTATTGCAGCTGCATGACGTATGTGTCTGTGTGTATGTGTGGTTGTGTGTGTGTGTCTGTGTGTATGTTTGTGTGTCTGTGTGTGTGTGTGTGTGTGTGTGTGTGTGCGTGTGTGTGTAGTCGCTTCACCCGCGTCTGGCAGGAACGGTGTCCTGCACTGGAGAGCCGACAGCTTCCCGGTGTTCACGAGGGGACTGGAATACAAGAACAACAGCCTGTACGTCCACCAGGACGGATACTATTACATCTTCTCCAAGATCGCTCACCTGGAGAACTGCAACTTCTTCAAGCATCAGGTCATGCAGTGCACGGAGAGGTACAGCTCACAGGCCATCGAGCTGATGCAGAGCTCCAGGTACTCCACAGCACACCACACATCGCTTCAGATCACGGCTGCAAGCTCTGAAGCTCATGAATGTTTTTATTTTAGGTTTATCTGCGTGCCCAATAAATCTCAGTGGAGGGACAACAGCTACCTGGGAGGCATCTTCCAGCTGTATAAAGGAGACAGTGTGTTTGTGAAGGTCAATAACAGCTCGCAGGTGCACGGTGAAGCCTACGAGAACTTCTTTGGGGCCTTCATGGTCTAAATACTGACATACTGCTGCAAGAAAATCACACACACACACTCTCAGGTTCTCATTCCAGTTTTCAATATTATTTGACATATTTAGCGAATTGTTGCAATATAGAATTGTGCTATTTTTTTATTTTTGTTTCTGCAGGTGAATAAATATATTTAGTGTGAGTATGGCTGAAACCTGACCCTCGGATCAGATGCCATTTCTCGTAAAGCTAAACGATAATTCTGCCAGTTTGTGTGTTAGAGGCCCATTCACAGGAAACCATTTGAAAAGAAACATATTTTCATTCACTTATTTTTAAATAATTGCACTATTTAAGAAATCATGTTTCAAATGCTTGTAAACTTGTTAGTGCCATCTATCCTTTATCTATTATAAGCTGATGTCAGTTTATATACATGTATTACATGTCTCTGTTTGAAGTGCTGCATTCTGGAATGTTTCAGTGCAATTCATAATGTAACATGCATCTCAGCATTGCTGTATAAACCAGAGATTTCTTCGATGGTCAGGTTTATTATTCTTTGTTTTATTTTTCCCAACTGTTGTCATGATGGAGCAATTGTTTCAGAGTGTCTTTTTGAGCAAGTACCTCAGTACCGCCACAGCAAGTCAAGAACACACGTTAAAGAAATACTTCACCTAAACATTTTAATTTGCAGATCATCCGAGATCAGGGTGAGTTTTTTTCTTCATCAGATTTGTAGAAATGTAGCATTGCATCAGTGTCTCACTGCAAGTGAATGGGTGCCGTCAGAATGAGAGCTGATAAAAACATCACAAGTAATCCACAGCACTCCAGTCCATCAGTTAACATCTGGAGAAGACAAAAGCTGAAACTAATCCAGCATTCATACGGCACCCATTTACTGTAATGCTACAATCCTCTAAACCTGATGAAGAAACAAACTCATCCTAATCTTGGATGGCCTGAGGGTGTGCACACTTTCATTTCTGGGTGAACTACTTTAAGTGCGTTCAACGAGACGGCGCACTTGAATCGATCAAAATTCAGCTGTGCGTTCACACGGTGTGACATTGTTTGTTGTTATTTATAAAAGTACATACTGTGTTTTGACTATATTGACTGGAATGTGCATTAAATGTGTATCATAGTAATACAATATTGCAATCTCAGAGTCTTCAGCAGCAGGTCACAATAGTCTTGCACAATGCTGCTTATCTTCCTTATTTTCTATCTCTCGATTTCAACCTCAGTGTGCTGAATGCAGCGCTGCACATCAAAGCCGCACAGAGCACGACAGATAAAGAGAGAGAGATGGAGGGAAAGCAGAGATAAGCAGGGAGATGTGTGGGGATGGCAGGATGTGGCGGCGCGAGGTGGAATAAGACAGAAAGGGGACAGAAAGCGCGCAGGAGCGGGGTTTTCGGAGGGGGGCAGTGGTTGCATTTTCCTGACTCAGCGCATTTCTGCATTCACAACGGAAGTTTCCAAAAAAACCTGCAGTCACCACAAATAAACAAATGGCTGTGTAGTTTCTTTTAGATGTTCTTTCCATTTAAAGAGAGAACGTCAAGAATCCCTGCTGATGTCTTCTACTCGTCTTTGTGAATCTATCTGATATTACTCCACACACTGTGACCACCTGACCACTAAAGAGTCCACCTGTCTACACAAAAACTACATGCACATACGTTCATATGAGCCATCACACGCACGAGCCATAAAATCCGTCAGACACACATGTATTCTGGGTTGCTACATTTTGCACGCTGAAAAAAATGGCTTTGAAATAGTTTTCACTCAGAAATGGCTAGTAAATTTCACAAATAATTACAAAAAATGGCAAGTAACAGTATCTTCTTGTACACTGTACTCAATTAATCAATCAATATATATATAGCACAGTAAAAAAACAAGTTGAAGTGCTGCACGATATAAAAAGGCAATATTTAATACATACACTAGTCGCAAGCAATACAGATAATAATGATAGTGAGATAAATCAAATAAAATGGTATAAATAAGGGGATCGTGATCTCTATAATTTTTTATTTACAACTTTGAACTATATATATATATATATTTTTTTTTTTTGCAGTGCAGATGCCATTTAAAACAGTTATTTCATTATGTTTTACCAGTAGCAGATTCCTTTTTTTTTTTTTTAGAAATAAATATGAGTTTTGTTTCTCCTTCTCTGCTGCGTTTGATGTCACAGCTCAGCACAGTCACATGAAAGCAGAAAACAGAGAAGTAAGAAAAGTGCTTTAGTGCGTATGTAAATTGCACACATCAGCTTTAAGGTGCAATGGCTGGAGAAACACGAGCAGTGTTTCACAACCGTAGGGTTCACAAAAATGTCAACACATACCGAAAATTAAACCGATTACAACATGCATGTCTTAATATGTGTGAGCATGACTTGATCTCTCAAGATGCTCATGTCGATCTCAGGGCTTCAGTTCACTCAAGCGTTTGGGAGCTGCTGATCTACAGGGTGGATGTAGAGTTATTTTTCTCATTTTCCTGCATTTTATCAAGTGCAGACATCTCAAACATATCAGCCAATAGAAACCCCCTTGAGAACAGTAGTTAACTGTGTGGCTTTAGAATGAGTGTAAGATCTAGATGCCTACACACTAAACGCTCTCATACACTCATTATCATACTGTGCGGTCGTGGTGAGATGGCATTTGACACACCTGGTGGTTTCCTTCCACAGCCGCTCACACTGCACCTGAACACATCAGGAAGTAGAACTCTGAGTCTGATGTCACTTCCTCCAACGGCCATAAACTTAATTTAATATCAGACGGATAGACGGATGGATGGACGGACGGACAGATAGATAGAAAGATATTCCAATGGATAGATAGACAGACAGATAGATGGATAGTTTGATAGGTAGACAGCACATGGATCTGTGTGGTAGAGTGTTTGCTGCTGTGCTGAAGGAAGCTGTGAGAGCATGAGTGGGAGATCGAGAGTGAGAGACGGGGGCGGTGAGAGCCTGCGTTTCTGATTCAGCACTTTTCTGGCATCTTGGTGGAAGTTTCCAGAAACACTCTGTCTTTATACGCAACCAACCGTTCCCTCTTCTCATTTCTTTCTGTTACTCAGAGAGAGAGAGTGACATAAAGAGAGAGAGAGCAATGAATGGCATGAGAAAGAAAGAAAAACGAGCTGCTTGTTTCTTTCCGAGCATCGGTCTCTGTTCCTCTAAAGACCAAGATCAGAGACCAAACTTAGTGACAGACAAACACAGTCCTGTCAAAACCTTTAACCAGACCTAAAACCAGAGGGGTGATCTGCTGATCCAGCTCCACAAACACGTCCTTCTCACTGAAATCACAGTCGGTCTGTTTTGAACAGATGTGAAAAGATATGAAAGTTTAGTCAGTGAACACATCTGTGAAACGGACAGTGATGGTCTAAGGATTACAGGTGTGGAGCAGGTCCAGGGCCTGTTGAGAAGACAGTCAAAGATGCAGCAGTGTTTTCCTGAGCTGTGCACATCAAGGTGCTTCACATGAGAGGCGTCCGCTGAGATCAGAGCTGCAAATACCAAGCCAATGTTTCACTTCTCCACATCCATCAACAGGTGGCAGAAGACAACCGCCTAACTGCCTTCAGCAGAGACTCCGCTGCAGATCTGCTCAGATAAGCATGAATACTTTCCAGCTGTTTTTAATTTCTGAAGCAGGTCTTAGCAGGACAAGGACACCTACTGAAGTAGATTTGTTTGGAAACACAATCTCTGGCGTCTCAGAACTGTCAAGTTTGTAGCTTGCTCATCTTTACTTAGCCTCTGCAAACGGGCATCTAACAGCCACTGGCTACGCTTACATGTGCAGTGAGACATCTCTTCAGTTATGTTCTTTATTGTGCATGTAAGCGCATCCACTGAGTCACGGTAATTGTTCCTAAAATAGCATGAAATCCTCCTTAAAGGGCCCCCCCCCCCCCCCCCACACACACACACACACATACCATTATAAATATTAGCAATGCATGATTAAGCTCCATGTAATAAAATCAATGGTAAAGAGTGTGACAGTCCTCTATCAAAACTAATAACAGTCTTATGGTCCTACAAATGACTCAAGTGCATGAGATTGAGGACCGAGCCTTTCAGCACATCCTAACAGATCTTAAAATCCAACGAGAGTCTTTTTAAAAAGTCTGATTTGTTAAAAAAAGGTTAAAACAATGAACTCTCATACACCCTAACTCACCTTCCCCGAGAAAAAAAGTTAAATTGTAAGCTGTAGCTATCTAGACACATTCAAAAATTATTTGATTAGTGATACAATTATCCCAAATTAGTGCTAAGGTTAAGATATGAAAATGTGAAGATATGAAGATTTGTCTGTTCAGACCAATGCATTAACAAAAGGCAGACAGTTTCACTCTCTGACAGTAGATGGCGCTTTTAGAAAAGCAGAAATAACCTGATCACTCTGGGACATAAAGTGCTACGTAAACCTTAAATTATGTTTTATACACGTACACATGCGCTCTAGAAAGCTCCGTCTTTGTCCGACGTCTGCTCTATTGTTCTCCAGAAGTTATGAGCAAAAAAAACAACTGATCAGTGCAAAGCAAGTTAATAGTGCATGTGCGACCTGGGTGTACGAAGTACACGTGGCTACAAAAATTGAGTGTTGCGTTGCACTATTCTAGTGACAAAATTTGACCCTAACTGAAGTATACTTTGGGCTTAACTTTCCGTTTCTGACACGCAGGGTGTCAAACATCATTTGCATGTTTTCAAACATCACCGTTCAGATTTCCTAATCCGTTATGTTTATAAAACCACACCATAATACAGTAACACAGAGACCAGAGCTGATTGCTCCTCTGCTTCTCACTGTAACAGCTGCGGTGACTAAAAGCACAAATCCTATTGGTTGGCCAGTTTTATTCAGCAGGGAGATTGAAACGAGATTACAACACTTAAAAATCAGTTGCATTGACGGTATACGAATACTTGTTTCAGTCAGGCGCACTAACACTGCTGTGAACAGGCCTTCATTCACATCTGAAATGCCAAAACGTTCTAAGTTGTGAAAGACATCAAACGTTTTCTTTTCTTTCTAGGCATCATCAGATATCCATAAAGTGGAATATGTAAAAGTGAGTATATATTTTACTCAAGTGTGTGTGCGAGTACATAAGCACGTGTCTGACGATCGTATTAACGCTGCTGTAAATATTTATCCGCAGGGAGAGAAGTCCACGTCTCCCAGAAGTTCACATGGTTGGTAAACTCTCACACAGTCAGAGGATTGGAGCGCTGCTCTTCACGATGTGTTCAGTGTTCATTCGGCTTGTTTTCTCAACAGATTACAATAAAGCTGTGCCTGCGAAACCTCCCAAAGCTGAGAGCAAACCGGCAGCATTTCTGCAAAGTATGGAACAGCTTCCACACACACACACATCTATTTATGTTTTTGAATAGGGTTGCAAAAAAGCAGAACATTTCCAATACTTTTCAGAAAATTTTGAAACTTTCTGGGATTGATTTTTGGAAACTTTTGGAAATTTTGGGGATTTTTCCCAGTTATGAAATATTTTTTCCATTTTTCTTCATATGCATTAGCCATTATATTGCATGACGTATGTGTCTGTGTGTATGTGTGGTTGTGTGTGTGTGTCTGTGTGTATGTTTGTGTGTCTGTGTGTGTGTGTGTGTGTGTGTGTGTGTGCGTGTGTGTGTAGTCGCTTCACCCGCGTCTGGCAGGAACGGTGTCCTGCACTGGAGAGCCGACAGCTTCCCGGTGTTCACGAGGGGACTGGAATACAAGAACAACAGCCTGTACGTCCACCAGGACGGATACTATTACATCTTCTCCAAGATCGCTCACCTGGAGAACTGCAACTTCTTCAAGCATCAGGTCATGCAGTGCACGGAGAGGTACAGCTCACAGGCCATCGAGCTGATGCAGAGCTCCAGGTACTCCACAGCACACCACACATCGCTTCAGATCACGGCTGCAAGCGCTGAAGCTCATGAATGTTTTTATTTTAGGTTTATCTGCGTGCCCAATAAATCTCAGTGGAGGGACAACAGCTACCTGGGAGGCATCTTCCAGCTGTATAAAGGAGACAGTGTGTTTGTGAAGGTCAATAACAGCTCGCAGGTGCACGGTGAAGCTTACGAGAACTTCTTTGGGGCCTTCATGGTCTAAATACTGACATACTGCTGCAAGAAAATCACACACACACACTCTCAGGTTCTCATTCCAGTTTTCAATATTATTTGACATATTTAGCGAATTGTTGCAATATAGAATTGTGCTATTTTTTTATTTTTGTTTCTGCAGGTGAATAAATATATTTAGTGTGAGTATGGCTGAAACCTGACCCTCGGATCAGATGCCATTTCTCGTAAAGCTAAACGATAATTCTGCCAGTTTGTGTGTTAGAGGCCCATTCACAGGAAACCATTTGAAAAGAAACATATTTTCATTCACTTATTTTTAAATAATTGCACTATTTAAGAAATCATGTTTCAAATGCTTGTAAACTTGTTAGTGCCATCTATCCTTTATCTATTATAAGCTGATGTCAGTTTATATACATGTATTACATGTCTCTGTTTGAAGTGCTGCATTCTGGAATGTTTCAGTGCAATTCATAATGTAACATGCATCTCAGCATTGCTGTATAAACCAGAGATTTCTTCTATGGTCAGGTTTATTATTCTTTGTTTTATTTTTCCCAACTGTTGTCATGATGGAGCAATTGTTTCAGAGTGTCTTTTTGAGCAAGTACCTCAGTACCGCCACAGCAAGTCAAGAACACACGTTAAAGAAATACTTCACCTAAACATTTTAATTTGCAGATCATCCGAGATCAGGGTGAATTTTTTTCTTCATCAGATTTGTAGAAATGTAGCATTGCATCAGTGTCTCACTGCAAGTGAATGGGTGCCGTCAGAATGAGAGCTGATAAAAACATCACAAGTAATCCACAGCACTCCAGTCCATCAGTTAACATCTGGAGAAGACAAAAGCTGAAACTAATCCAGCATTCATACGGCACCCATTTACTGTAATGCTACAATCCTCTAAACCTGATGAAGAAACAAACTCATCCTAATCTTGGATGGCCTGAGGGTGTGCACACTTTCATTTCTGGGTGAACTACTTTAAGTGCGTTCAACGAGACGGCGCACTTGAATCGATCAAAATTCAGCTGTGCGTTCACACGGTGTGACATTGTTTGTTGTTATTTATAAAAGTACATACTGTGTTTTGACTATATTGACTGGAATGTGCATTAAATGTGTATCATAGTAATACAATATTGCAATCTCAGAGTCTTCAGCAGCAGGTCACAATAGTCTTGCACAATGCTGCTTATCTTCCTTATTTTCTATCTCTCGATTTCAACCTCAGTGTGCTGAATGCAGCGCTGCACATCAAAGCCGCACAGAGCACGACAGATAAAGAGAGAGAGATGGAGGGAAAGCAGAGATAAGCAGGGAGATGTGTGGGGATGGCAGGATGTGGCGGCGCGAGGTGGAATAAGACAGAAAGGGGACAGAAAGCGCGCAGGAGCGGGGTTTTCGGAGGGGGGCAGTGGTTGCATTTTCCTGACTCAGCGCATTTCTGCATTCACAACGGAAGTTTCCAAAAAAACCTGCAGTCACCACAAATAAACAAATGGCTGTGTAGTTTCTTTTAGATGTTCTTTCCATTTAAAGAGAGAACGTCAAGAATCCCTGCTGATGTCTTCTACTCGTCTTTGTGAATCTATCTGATATTACTCCACACACTGTGACCACCTGACCACTAAAGAGTCCACCTGTCTACACAAAAACTACATGCACATACGTTCATATGAGCCATCACACGCACGAGCCATAAAATCCGTCAGACACACATGTATTCTGGGTTGCTACATTTTGCACGCTGAAAAAAATGGCTTTGAAATAGTTTTCACTCAGAAATGGCTAGTAAATTTCACAAATAATTACAAAAAATGGCAAGTAACAGTATCTTCTTGTACACTGTACTCAATTAATCAATCAATATATATATAGCACAGTAAAAAAACAAGTTGAAGTGCTGCACGATATAAAAAGGCAATATTTAATACATACACTAGTCGCAAGCAATACAGATAATAATGATAGTGAGATAAATCAAATAAAATGGTATAAATAAGGGGATCGTGATCTCTATAATTTTTTATTTACAACTTTGAACTATATATATATATATATTTTTTTTTTTTGCAGTGCAGATGCCATTTAAAACAGTTATTTCATTATGTTTTACCAGTAGCAGATTCCTTTTTTTTTTTTTTAGAAATAAATATGAGTTTTGTTTCTCCTTCTCTGCTGCGTTTGATGTCACAGCTCAGCACAGTCACATGAAAGCAGAAAACAGAGAAGTAAGAAAAGTGCTTTAGTGCGTATGTAAATTGCACACATCAGCTTTAAGGTGCAATGGCTGGAGAAACACGAGCAGTGTTTCACAACCGTAGGGTTCACAAAAATGTCAACACATACCGAAAATTAAACCGATTACAACATGCATGTCTTAATATGTGTGAGCATGACTTGATCTCTCAAGATGCTCATGTCGATCTCAGGGCTTCAGTTCACTCAAGCGTTTGGGAGCTGCTGATCTACAGGGTGGATGTAGAGTTATTTTTCTCATTTTCCTGCATTTTATCAAGTGCAGACATCTCAAACATATCAGCCAATAGAAACCCCCTTGAGAACAGTAGTTAACTGTGTGGCTTTAGAATGAGTGTAAGATCTAGATGCCTACACACTAAACGCTCTCATACACTCATTATCATACTGTGCGGTCGTGGTGAGATGGCATTTGACACACCTGGTGGTTTCCTTCCACAGCCGCTCACACTGCACCTGAACACATCAGGAAGTAGAACTCTGAGTCTGATGTCACTTCCTCCAACGGCCATAAACTTAATTTAATATCAGACGGATAGACGGATGGATGGACGGACGGACAGATAGATAGAAAGATATTCCAATGGATAGATAGACAGACAGATAGATGGATAGTTTGATAGGTAGACAGCACATGGATCTGTGTGGTAGAGTGTTTGCTGCTGTGCTGAAGGAAGCTGTGAGAGCATGAGTGGGAGATCGAGAGTGAGAGACGGGGGCGGTGAGAGCCTGCGTTTCTGATTCAGCACTTTTCTGGCATCTTGGTGGAAGTTTCCAGAAACACTCTGTCTTTATACGCAACCAACCGTTCCCTCTTCTCATTTCTTTCTGTTACTCAGAGAGAGAGAGTGACATAAAGAGAGAGAGAGCAATGAATGGCATGAGAAAGAAAGAAAAACGAGCTGCTTGTTTCTTTCCGAGCATCGGTCTCTGTTCCTCTAAAGACCAAGATCAGAGACCAAACTTAGTGACAGACAAACACAGTCCTGTCAAAACCTTTAACCAGACCTAAAACCAGAGGGGTGATCTGCTGATCCAGCTCCACAAACACGTCCTTCTCACTGAAATCACAGTCGGTCTGTTTTGAACAGATGTGAAAAGATATGAAAGTTTAGTCAGTGAACACATCTGTGAAACGGACAGTGATGGTCTAAGGATTACAGGTGTGGAGCAGGTCCAGGGCCTGTTGAGAAGACAGTCAAAGATGCAGCAGTGTTTTCCTGAGCTGTGCACATCAAGGTGCTTCACATGAGAGGCGTCCGCTGAGATCAGAGCTGCAAATACCAAGCCAATGTTTCACTTCTCCACATCCATCAACAGGTGGCAGAAGACAACTGCCTAACTGCCTTCAGCAGAGACTCCGCTGCAGATCTGCTCAGATAAGCATGAATACTTTCCAGCTGTTTTTAATTTCTGAAGCAGGTCTTAGCAGGACAAGGACACCTACTGAAGTAGATTTGTTTGGAAACACAATCTCTGGCGTCTCAGAACTGTCAAGTTTGTAGCTTGCTCATCTTTACTTAGCCTCTGCAAACGGGCATCTAACAGCCACTGGCTACGCTTACATGTGCAGTGAGACATCTCTTCAGTTATGTTCTTTATTGTGCATGTAAGCGCATCCACTGAGTCACGGTAATTGTTCCTAAAATAGCATGAAATCCTCCTTAAAGGGGTCATATGATGCGATTTCAAGTTTTCCTTTCTCTTTGGAGTGTGAATCACAAAATAATGATCTTTAAAAAAGCATCATATGACCCCTTTAAATTGTCCTACTGTTGAGAAGCATGGCTCTTCCAACTGACTACTGTAGGACTACTGGAGACGCGGTTAGATAGATCTTTCTCAATGTCTTTAGTCATGCAGACCTTCTCCTGCCTTGTAACATTTTCCAGTGAAACTGAAAGGAGCAGGAGACGGGCCAGTTCAGAGAGCTGGCAGATATTAAGCTCAGATAATTGCATGACTGGAATACAGCTGTCTGGATGCAGCTAAGAGGTTAGATATAACAGTATGGCTCACTTATATTAAAAGGCTGCAACTGGCTGATCCAGCCTGAACTGTATGCTTTCTAACGCTAGGATATTTGACAGTGACGGCGCTACACCAGGGCTAGGGGGGGCTATAGCCCCGTCAGAATTTTGAATAGGGTGGTTTAGTCTGACGTAATCAATATAATTAATTTTCTTAGCATCCCCACATATTGGTCTAGCCCCCCCTTAGCACCGGTAGAGAAAAAATTCTGGCGCCGTGCCTGATATTTGAGCACCAGCATAAACCAGCAAAGGACCAGCTTAAACCAGCATAAACCAGCCAATGACCAGTTTAAACCAGCATCAAAACATACCTAACCAGCATATGCTGTTTTTTCAACAGGGCACTTACACCGAAATATGCTAGATTCGGATTTTGTTTACAAAACGTGTCACAGACCGAAGCATATAAGGGCCTATACACCAGATGCTAAACTCATTCACATGAACAAAACACTGAAATTAGCAGAACATTGTGATTCCTGGTATGATGTTTAAGTACATTTTATTTTGATATTTACATTTTTGTCATTTCGCATTTAAGTAGCAGCGTTAAGCCTTAGATTGGTAAATTTCTATAAATAAAGAAGAAATATAAATATAAATATTTCTGTTTTAAACCTTGAAGGCGAGCCCACAAGCAGCATGCAAACGTTGCGCAATATTACGCCAGGTGAACGTCTTAACCTCGATTCACTATAGCCTACAGAACGTGAAAGTACAAAAACTGACGGAGATTTATAACGCTGCATTGAGAGACTATTCTACTTCAATATATGCTGAAAACAGTATATAACGGTCTTAAATTATTCCCTTAATATCTCTCTTGTGACCTGTATAGTGAAAAAACACAAGAAGAAACATATTTCGCGTTAAACAGGCTGTTTTTGAAAATCGGTGCATGGAATAAAGCTGCTCTTATAGGCCTATAATTCATTGAATACATTAATAGACCTTTTTAAAAACATTTTCAATGAGTAAGCTAATAGCCTAATCTTGTATTATCAAGTCAGTGAGGCAAGTATTCGCTGAGTTTTGGTTTATCAGAAGCGCTCCCGCTCAAAACCGAAACTGCAGAAAGCATCCCGTTTCTTCTTCTTCTTCATTTTATAAAAGCACAACGTTTTGTTGATATTGTGAGTGCACACAAATAAAAGTAGAGCCTTTACAGTTCTGATTGAATGCTGTATTACTCTTACCTTTATGAGCAAAAATGACGGCGTATTTTAAAATGTTTCCAATACAAGTGATCGCGCTGGCGCCTCCAAGTCCAGTAAAGCGCGCTTTAGCTTCCACTCTCCGCACAAACGATTGGGTATGCCTCTAACAGCACACATTTATAGGTTAAGTGTTTAAACTAGCCTGACATTGTGATATGCTTGAGCTGTTTTAT